GGCTGTCCTGCCTGTGGCACTGGGGGGGGGCCTGGGGACGCGTCTTGTCCTTCAGCCGCCTCCTGTGTGTTTGGGACACGCGTTCCCATAGTGTGACATGTGTCCCCAACTGTTGTCACCCGTTTCCCAGGTCCTTCCCAGCCCTTCCTCGCCCCGCGGCTGGCTCTGGTTGGGGCTGGGCAGACGGGCAGTGTTGCTGCTGGGTTGGGACTATGGGGGAGACGACTTCGTCCCTCGTCATGGTCCCCCGGGTGGTTTTGGCACGCAGGGCTGGTGCTGGGCTCCGGTGGGAGATGGAGGCTCCTCTTTCCCCTGGTCTCTGGCCTGAAAATCTCCCGTCTCTTGCAGTGAGCCGGGTCCACAGCACAGCCGGCATCCCGAGGCGCAGCAGGAGGAGGAAGAGCATCGCCATTGCCTACGAATCTGCACAGGGGGACGGTGCCGAGCAGGGGACGTCGGAGCCCCAGAGACCGCGCTGGGAGCCAAGGGACTGGCGGCAGCAGTTGGAGCGCATCCAGGAAATGCGGAGGAACAGAGATGCTCCTGTCGATGAGATGGGGGTGGAGAAGTGTTACGACAGCAGCGCACCTCCACAGGTAACAACACCCTGCTGCCCTGCTCCGTCAGGCGGGCACGTGAAAATACAGCCCTGCTTCCGCAGCCCTCCGGCCTTCCTCATCCTCACGTTGCCCCTGGATATGTCCCATTTTGGATATCTCCAGAACAGAAAAATAAACGCAAGGTGTATCAGGACTCTAGGCTGGGATTGCTCCCACAAGAGGTTACCGCACAAGCGTGCATATGAGAGAAACCGTTCATCCTGCTAGAGGAGGAGAGTCGGCCGCTGCCTCTCCGCTACCGGGCTTGTTGGCTTCAGACAGTCCTTGTGAAATGGCAGTGGGTATTTTCTGAGATGTTCTCTGCTCGTATTCAGCCCATGCTGGGCATTAGAGACCAACTAGCAAACGCAGCTGTGAAAGGCCCTTGTCCTCTGCTTAAACTGCTGCCAGAAGAGTTAGCAGGCTGAACCAAGAGTAGGAGCTGAGGCAAAAACAGGATGATTTTGGACTTGGGAGTGAAAACCCTGAGAGTGTATTGTGGCAGTGCTGTCTTCTGGGGCAGGCTGGCAGGGCACGAAGGCACGTCCCTTTTTTCTTAAAAATCTCTGTTGGAGTCCAAGGAAAGTATCCAGCAAGATGGCTCTGTAATACAGAGGAAAAACAGCATGGAGAAAAGGTGAGGGGAGCCAAGAAAAAACTTTCCAGGCTGCTTTTATGTTCTTCAGAGCAGCACAGAAGCGTAGGTTGGCTTCCTCCTCTCTTGCGGTCCACTTTTAAGGGGATACTGGTTGAAAGGAAGGGCCATGCTGGGATGGCACTGTGCTCCCCAAGCCTGGGAACACAATCAAAGGCCCCAAATGACGCCTCCCTCTGAGGGGACCATTTGCATCAGTACAAAAAACAAAGCGGAGCGAGGCCGTGGCGCGGCGCTGGGATCCGGGGCTGCAGGGCTGCGCTCTCCGTGCGCGGCGCTGGTGTGGGAACGTGGAGATAACCCGCAGGCAGGCTCGGCGGAGCAGCAGGAGTCGTGTGCTCCACGGCGACCCGCTGGGCTCTGAGGGAGGGGTCTCAAAGACACAGCTGCACAGCTTCGGCGCATGTAACGCTGTCCTTATTGCTGGCATCGTGCCTTGGGCTTGGATCCCTGGGGAAAACGGTTCGCTCTGGATTCAGACAGCGTCACACGCTCCGCAGCCAGGTGGGCTGGCACCAAGTGCGGCTGTGGGGCCAGGGGGACTATGGTGCACGATATGGAAATAACTTTTCTTCCCTAGGGAAGCAGGGTTGTTGCTTCCAAGAAAAAGTGGATGTTGTAACCCTCAGCACACACCAGCGCTCCTCACACAACTTCCATGCACTCGGAGATTACCCTACTTCCATGCACTCAGAGATTTTTCCTGGTGCACCTGCGGTTTTGTAAACTTTGTAAGAGAGCTGGAGGCAGGATTGTACCCCGTGTTATCCTGGGTCAGTCCAGGTTAGTTGCATCATCCTCCTCATTCTGGTGGGGAGAGAATCACATCCAGGGAAAAATCAGTTGAAAAATAGGATGGTCTGGGCTAAACCCTGCATGACAGCCACAGAGGAACTTGTGGGTTTTGTGCTTCATCTCCCAGTCTCTGTCATCCCAGTTCTTTAGATTTGGTTTCTTAAGGAACTCTCTGGAGCCAGATTCCCAGTTCCTACTGAAGCGTAGTGGGAAAGGGACGGGCTTTTCCAAAGCTGCTTTAGTGCAGAAGTTGCATGAAAAATCATTGGGCGTTTGTACTCCTACGTCCTGTGGGGTCTCCTGAGAATCCCATCATCAGGAAAAGCTTTGTCTGACCCTTTGTGGCTAAGCACTGGCGTCTTTGGATGTGAGATGCCAGCAGACAGTAGCTGCTCTCTGCCCTTTTATGCATGCTGACTGCTTGGATTGAAGGTGTTTCTTTTCTCCCCTTATTGTGTGGTGGAAGTAAAAGGTTATGGATTATTTCTGTTGCAGCCTTCCAGTTTCTTGTAGACAGATACGGCTGAACCAGGAGAGGTCCATATTATGCACTGGACTGAAGATGGTGCTGGGTGGGAGAACCGAGCTCCAGAGGCGGCCGGATCCTCTCAGAGGTCTTGGGGTGTCTCACTGTCTCCTTTTCCCCAGGTTATGCGCTACCAAGTTCTGCTGTCACTGATGCTCTCCAGCCAGACCAAGGACCAGGTGACGTCAGCTGCCATGCTGCGCCTGAGGCAGCATGGCCTCACAGTCGACAGTATTTTGCAGATGGATGACGCGACGCTTGGGCGGATCATTTACCCTGTAGGATTCTGGAGGGTGAGTGCAGGATCGCGGCAGCACCCGATGTGCATGTAGAGGAACCCCCTCCACCGTCCTCCGTTCCCATACGGCTGTCTGAGACAGCTCAGAGGCCCAGGAGAGAAGCGCAAAGCGGGCGCAGGTTTGTCCTTTGCAGGCTGTACTCGTGGCCGGTCGCTGCGCTGACAGAAGGTGATGAAGGCAGGAGGTGGGTGCGAACCAGCCCTGCTCCTGAGAGACGGTGTTCAGCCTGCGTGCCGTGCCCCCTGGTGATCTTTCCCCTGGAGTCAAGCTGAAGGCTGTATTTTACGCCAGTTTTAGCAATTTGTATTCACAGCAAGATTGCTTGCTGCAGTGCCGGGGAGGTTAGAGCTAATCAGGTGTCAGCATTTCGCTTTCAAGGAGAAATCAGAGACCTCTGTCTCCCCTCCGCAAACTCCAGTGTGTGGCCTCATGTAACATACACTCAGGGATGGTTTGTTTTCTGAGCTGTTTGTCTCTTTTCCC